TAAAAAGGACAATTTTAACATGTTGTGAATAAATGTTCAACAAAATAATTTTGAAAGTAGATCCTTGCAAGGAATAGCAATGATTTGCGTTTGCAAAAAATAAAAAATATGGAACTGCTCAAGGAACTTCAATGAATACGACCCTCAGAACAGTTTACCGCTCAACATGTTCTGAGTATACAACGGAGAGTTAATCTGAGTTAGGTTCAGTTGGGTTAAGCAACTAAACTAACCTTGCGGTGAGGCGTAGAGTATCGCGCAATATTGAAGGCGCGATATATTTGAGTCTCTGTGAATAATTTTCACTGCCCTTCCATCGCATTTTTGTGAAACCAGCCCTAAGCGTGCAATGAATGACTCTGCTAATCATAAGATGAATCATCGCCAGACGTAAATGTTTCCACTTTTGCTGAACCTCCCAAGGAAATAAGTTGTTCTAGGAATGGGTATAAATACGGCCCATAGAGTACTAAATATTTCAGCTTTGTCTGAATCTATTAAGTATTGAAGGAAACTAGAGTGATCAATTCCTCCAAAATTTTCACAGTCTGTCAAAAATTGTTTCAAGTTTTGATCAAATGTGTATCATGTAGAATTTTATGAAGCATTCCTACTTTAAATTACATATTCTCATCTCCCAAGGTAATTTTCCCTCTCCTTTTCTGTCAACTATGAGCATCGTTTCTCTTTTAAAATTAAATAATTTTCCACTACTCTCGCTTTTTCCTCGTGAAAAACGCCTCTCAACCCGGCAACACTCCTCAGTGGCGGCAGAAGGAGGGATACGTAGTCCAGCAAATTTTCTAGAGAAAAAGTTCCCTATTTTTTTCATAATTTTTTTATTCATCCTCTTAACTTTTCGTACAAGTTTTTAATTATTATTGAGCATACTCTGTGCTGCCTCCATTCATTTTCGCTCCGCGGCTCAAACGCATAGTTTTATATTTCAAGTGATGCCCTCGAAAAGGCTTTATATAATCATGGGAAAACAAATCCCGTATTGTAATTAAAGGGAGAGTCGGTCGGGGGCCTGGGGGAGAGGGGGGGAGTATGTGTAAGCGTAAAAAGTGAAGCGGAGCTCGCACAAGTTTGCCAGATTATGCAATAAAATGTTGGTATTTACCACAGAGCTGAGTGGGATAAAGCGCTAATTCTTCGCACTATCTGGCAACAACGAGCTCGTATAATCCCCCAGACGTCTGCCGCAAGCTGAGTGGAGTTTATTACGCTCAAATACGAGGTTTCTGCTTTTTACGCATGGCGCCGCGGCAGTCTCAACAGCCTGCTCTCCTTCAGTCACCGACCCTTAGCCTCTTGTTACACTATCAAATAGACGTTTCTGAGCAAATCGAATGTATCTCTAAAAAGGAAATGTTGAAAAACAACATATCGTTCAATACAGGTTCTAAACGGATAAAAGAAGAATCGTGTTTGTGTAGGTGCTAGTTTACTGCCTTGCTAAGAAAGAGGGCAGTATCTAAGAAAACATAGGCCCTGTTAACTCTTATCGAATTATGTCATTCCGATCGACACATGTACTCCGATCGACACATGAACTGCGATCGACACATGAACTCCGATCGACACAAGTACAGTACTCTGACCGAGACATGACCTCTTATCGACTCTCCAATCGACGTATGTCCTGATAAATCCAGAATACCTGATGGACGTTTCCCACACGAAAGATCGTAACTACATTTCAACATCGGAAAATTTTCTTTAGCAAATTTTATTTCATTTTGATGAATTCCTCGAAAATTTCCATACCGCGTTTTCTCCCGCAGAGGAACAAAAATCGGCAGAATTTTGGGCAGACGTTTCACGTCATGATCCTGTAAACATTTAATGCTCGAGTTAATTTTGCAACTCTGAAATGAAGTGACGCTTTTTGCTCGGGAAACGAGGAACCGGAGAGGGGAGCATGATTTGATCACATGGCAACTCCGTGTAGGCAACTCTCAACAGGAACCCTGCTTCCATGTAAGCGATGTCACACGGGTTCAAGTCGTAAAACACATCCGGTCGGCGAAACGAAGGTTGAAGGCGCTTTTAAACAGAGAGTAGGGCGCTCCTTTTGCAGTTTTGCTTACTTGCTACTATTTTAGTGTCTTTGCAGTCTGGCTAGTGGTTACGCAATGAGCCAGTCGCTCCAGTAGAACTGAGTTCGAAGCTGGAATTTTACAATCAGCCCGAATATAGAGGAAGAAAAAAAAGATTGATTAAACCACCAAGCTCCCAACATTAAAGAAGACATCATCCCTAAGTAAACCTGATAATTGACTAAAGATGTGTCATTTGGGGACGACAGGAGAATTTCCGGCATTTCTAATAAATTTACCGGCGTTTTTCAAGATTTCATTAAGCCTTGTCCTCCAAGGAAAGTTTCCCTCCATCTCACAACTTTTTCCTCTTTCTCGCCAAAATTTCCAAGATTTTGACTGAAATGAGGCTCATAATTTGGACCTTCAGGAATTCAGAGATTGGAGTTTTTCAGGAATGTATTTTTCCTTCGAAATTTGCATTTACCCAAAATATGTTTCTTTTCCTCCTCTGTTTTTTTGTATTTCCTACGGGACGTGGAAACTTGGTGTTTGAACAGATGTCTTTTTTTTTACTAATCTATAATCTGAAATCGCCAAAACACAATTCAGTAACCAGCACAACTGATCCACTCGACTTACTGAGAATGAATCTCGTCAAAAGTGCGGGCATCTACAGGCGGACCAATCATCTGATACCACCGTTAATTAAATCGGACTATGCAAACATTCGCAGAGTGGAATGACTGCTACTTTAGATAGGCGACAGTCGCGAGGCGTTAATGATCGACCATCGATATTTCTCCATTCGAAGCCACGGTAAAGAATCGATTATTAAGGCGATCGCTGCGAACATCCTATTTTTCGAGCCTTTTCCATAAGTTTGAATGACAGATCAATCGAGATATCGCAAAGCGCGCCACGCCACCGAGGCGAGTGCTTTCACTCCGACCTCCATCTAACATTTTTTCCACCTCGAGCGCAGTTGACCCGGTGCCCGGTGTTCCATTCACCTGTCCTATCAGTATCAACCTCCCCCCCCCCCCANGGGGGGGGAGGGGGGTTAAGCGAGAAAACTCTCCGCGCCGTTACGCCTCTTCATCAATCATTAATCCCCTCTTCTATTCATCCGTGCTAAGGAAAAACGCCGTATGAAAATTCCAGAGCTGCCGTATTCCCTCCTATAAAACGTTTATTGCTGAGGTTAGTTATGCATCTTTTCCCTTGAGATTTTCAGATTTTTTAGACGGAACTACGAATAAAATTCTCTGAAAAATCGGAAGGATAATATTCACAAAATTTCCCGAAAATTCGTGATTTCTCAAAGGGAGTTTGGCAACGTCTGAAAGCTCATACGGCATTTTTCCGTACTACGAGAGTATTCATCCGTCTCCTCTCCGGAGTCCGTACTCGCACTCCACATCCTCTCCATTTTTCCTCATTGTCTTTAAGTGAATCGGTGAAATTTTAAAACCCAATATGAGCGTTATAACACGAGCCCTAGAATAGAGGCACGCTTGCGGATCTCAGGTCTCACGAGGGAACGGACTTTTTCGGTTTTAAAACGGATCGATTCAAGTTCCTTCCCGGGAGCGAGCGAAGACCGTACTGCAACAAATAACCTCAATCCGCCGATATTGGCCGGGGCGGAGGGGGGGGGGGAATTGATGGCGAACTTCGCGCGTTGAAACAAAAAAGTTGGGTGAAAAGTTTACGGCGAGAAAAAAAGACCGAAGCTGAGTCAATACGCAAGACAGCAGTAAGTCCGTCTTGGTTTGAGCTCGGGGTTGGATAAGGATACGTGGTGCCCGTGGCTCGGGGTGGGGTGCACTTACTGCTGGCTGGCCGTTGAAGCGATTTCTTTTCGAACGCGGTTTTGATACGGTTTATTAGCTCCAGGCGCGAGCGCAACCACTTCATAATTAATGTTGATGAATGAAGACGATGGGCTGTCAGAGGAGGGAAAATTACCATCGATAGGAGATTGAATTCGGGGTTCGGATCCGATTATTATTTGAGAGTTTGGGCTTTGATGAATGGATCAGCTGCCAGCTTTGTGTAGAGGGTCAGGCATGGATTTGGACTATTTTCTATAAAAATCGGTTGGTAATTTAATCAAAATAGGAAGGAGAAAAATTAATTGGAGCACTGTGTAGTATAATTAATTTTGATTTGCTTTATTAATCATTTGCCTCAAGCACAGCACTGCTAAACCTAATCGTTAAAAATAACTTTAAGTATGCACTACTGGAGTCGAAGATGACGTCAGTGCCGCCGTACTATGAAATTAACACCGCATGAACATTAAAGAATTGCCAAACTTCTCTTCAGAAAATATTTATTTTTGAAGAAAGTCACATTACGTTTCCTTGGAAATTTCAGGCGCTTCAAATCTATTTCAGAAAAAAGTCGGAGGAAATTTGTTTTGCAAATTTTCCCGAAGATTCGTGTCCCGTCAAAGGAGATTCCGCAATGTCTGAAGGCACATACGAGCTTCTTCCTTAGGACAGCAGCGTAGGGCTGTCATTTCGTCGTTTTCCTCACGAAAGAACGTAACTACATTTCAATGTTGCCAAATTTTCCTTCATAAATTGCATTTTAACCAGAAAAATCTCGGGCATTTCTAACTGAAAATTTCACTAATTTTTCTTCCTATTTCATGCAAAAATCAGACAGATTTGGATAAAAATTGCACACTTACATTTTTGTAAAATAAGTTAATTATTAGAGTCAATTTTGCAACCTTGGATTGGAATTACGTTCCTTCGTGCGGGAGACGACGATTTCAGGCCAACTTTAAAGAGGGTGAATGAAGGATATCAGGGGGAGACAAAATTTTCTTCTAGGCAATGCCTGATTCATCGGAAACCATAATATTATGAATTTACCTCATCCCTAGAATTTTCACAAATCATGTAATTCGAGGCTAATTAAAAAATTTTTTTGTGTGTGTTACAGTAAAACCTGAATACATCCGGATAACGCGAGGGGATGGTCACGAGTTGCAAAATTCCACCCTGATCGGCCCCCTAAGCGAAGACGATCAGCTAACGCTGATTTGTGAGTCGGGAGGTGGCAAACCAATCGCCGCTGTCCACTGGTACAACGGCACAGAGAAAATGAACTGTAAGTATCTTTTATCAGATGAAATCGTGTGTTTGAATGAACATGTATTTGGCACTAAATAGGAATATCAAAATTGTCTGGTTTTTTTTCATAAAAATGACAGGTCTGCACACAGAAACTTTTTATGTAATTCTGTCCAATTCGGTTTAAGTGTTCCTGAAATTTTAATAAATTTTCAACTAAAGTGACCTTACGAAGAAAATGTAATCTCCATGCCGAAAAGCTCAAACTTAACCAGCACAAGATGGAAATAGAACAAGGAAAAGAACGCGCGCATGATGACGGCGCAGAGATACAACTATTCGTGCTTGATGGATGTCCGTGTTGCGTCCTCAAAATTGAAGGCGCGATGGCGCGAGGCGCAAACTGTCACTGCTTCGCTCTGTCCTGCCAATAAGGTGTCACTCAGATTCAGCAAAACGTCTGAAAAAAGAGCACAAATCGAAAGTTTGGTTCAACGAATTGGAAGTTTGGCTCTACGAATTGAAAGCCTGTTGTACGAATCGAAAGTTAAATTTGACAGATCGAAGTGTTCGATCAAGATGCAACGCTAAGCCTCAGTCCACGTTAAGCAGAAAGGAACCAAGCCACATCCCACATCAGCTATTGATAAATTTAATCGGACAATTTAATTTTTTACATGAAAACGGTTGTGCGTATTTTTTTTACACATTTCAGTGAATTTTCTGCGTATTCCGAAGCGAATTCCTTAATATTTTCCAAAGTAATCCGCACGAACGTTCTCTCGCAGAAAATTGAATTCCACACTTAACTTTTAGAATGGCTGATGCGGCCTGGTTCCTTTCTGCTAAACGCGGTCCAAATATTTGTATACGACCGAACCTCATTTTCCAGTGTAAGTAATGAAAAAATTCCAAATATAAAGCCTTTAAATAAAGACTTAGAACCGCGTCGAAATGAGTGCATCAATGAAAGCTTCGGTCATGGTTTCAGGAGTACAATTCCATTTACAAGTGAGCGGCGCAAGACGCGATGTAATTTCCAGCTCAAAAGCGTCACTTCTCGGAATCAGGTTAATGCGAATCGGTCCCTCTCCATCGAATCGAATCGAATCCGATCCGAGCCGAAGCCGCCGACGAAAAAATAAGATCCCCGCTCGAAAGAGAGCGCAAAAAAAGGCGGGCAGGGGGAGGGAGACGGGGGGATGTGGCGAAAACCCCACCTCTTCGCGAGCTCTTTGATCAATAGAATTTAAATGAGCAGTTAACATCCTTTATCAGCACGCGAATGGACTCGAGGTATTTTCCAATCAGTTTTCCGGAAAACTTGATTTATCCGGAGATTTGTACCCCCTCCCCCGACTCCAGCCCCCGCCCCCGCCAGTCATTCCCGATGCATTGGTGGATGCACCACCCTCCTGAGCCGAGGAGAAACGCCGTACGCACAACCCGAAGTTGCCAAAGTTCCCTTTTAATATAACATTTATTTCTTAGAAAATTTATGGATGCTTTTCCTTGAAGTTTACAGGTTTTGTAGATTAGATTGCGAGTGAAATTCTGTGAAAAGTTGGGGAGGAAATTTACACAAGTTTACCGGAAAACTTATATTTTATCGAAGGAAATTTGGCAACCCCTAAAGGCTCTTACGGGGTTTTTCCTCAGCGCAGCACCGGTGTGGCGCGGTGGAGCGTTGACAGCTAAAAATAACATTTCAAAAGAGTTCCGCGCGCTTCGCTTTGATCGCTCCCGCGCTCCCGAGAAAATGCACTCGGATTTACAACAGAGAACAAAATAGCTTCGTCCCGACCCGAACCCCCTCAACTTCCTCTCCCCCCACCCCCGCCCTCCGTAGCTTCCGAAGTCGTGTCGCAACATTTTCGGTTCTCTAAAAACTTAATAAAATCCGTAACAAGGCGGTGAGAGTGCCGAAACCGCTTTGCTTGTCAGGTCGCTTTTCCCCNGGGGGGGGGGGGGGGGGGGTTGAGGGAGGGATAGAGAGAGAAAATTGGAAGATCAAACTTTGCGATGGTCGCTTTTTTTTAACCGTGTGTGTTTACGTTCGGTTCGATTGGAGAAGTGTTGATTTTTCGCGTCCATCCGGCAGGTGCACGAAAACCACGCAGATTTCCCGGATTTGCACGGATCGAGTTTTCCCGTGCTCCGTTTTCCGAGCCCACGTTTGGCCTCGTTCGGTGGCGTGGCGCACTTTGCGATGTATCGATTGATCTGCCATTTAAACCTATGAGGAAGGATCGATAAGTAGGATGTTTGCAATGAGCATCTTAATAATCGATCTTTTACCGTGGCTTCAAATGGGGAAATATCGATATTCGATAATTCACCCCTCGTCAGTGGCCTCGTTCATGCGTGTGGGGGTGCTCGGGCTCCGAGAAATTCATATGAGAACCTATTTTTATCGTCCTGATAAGAGAGCTTTTTGTGATATTAAATTTCCCAGAAACGCAGCTCAATCCGTCCAAAAAAAATTCTCTAAAGAGGTGAAGAGTCGGATCAGGAAAATCGTTCAGAATCGTATTTATAGTCGTTCTGTAAGCGGTTATGTTCCGTAGGTAGTCCCATTTGGTTTACATTGTGATTTAATAAGGTTTGAGGGATAACTCAAACTAGCGCCTGACTACGCGCCAATAGTTTTGTGAAAAACATTTTCATGAGAAATTAGGCCCAAATTAAACGTTGAGAAGTTACGGAATAGTCAGGGAATTGTGTTCAAAAACCGAGAAAAATCATGGAAAAGTGATTGAATTTTGAAATCCGAGAGAACCTGGCATTATATAGGGAGAGTACGGACAACTTTTGGAGGTTAGATAATGGAGCTCTTAAGGCCCGAAATACCTACGAACTCAAATTGTCCAGAATGATTTATCATCACAATTGTTATAACTCATTGTACAGCACGTATTCGACCTAATGTTTGCTTAAATCGACTAATTTTTGTGGAAGAACGCGCATTTACAAACATTTTTGCCCAATTTGCTTCGATATTTAAATCTAAAAATTGGTAGCGGCATTTTTCCAGTATATTCTTTGTTAGAATGTTGGCTGCCCTCTTGGCCTCTAAAAGCTACATATCTCAGCATGTCCATACTCTCCCCATATAGGTGATGGTAGTCTACCTTTCACCTGCTGCTTGATTGTGAAATCGATATCGAATGACCATGATCGATAAAAAGCATTGCTAAAGATAGAGATTTATCGATCACATTGGCGTGGCGTGTCTCGCGACGTATCGGTTATTTTGTCATTTAAACCTATGGTAAAGAATCGATTATTAAAGCGTTCCCTGCGAACACCTTGATTATCGATCCTTTTCCATAGGTTTAAAATGCATAAAAATCGATATATAGCAAAGCTTGCCGCGCCACTGATCGATCAGGATCAGTCGATAATAATTCAACAATCGATCCGCTGATGCACAAAATAGGCGCCGAGTCCTAACTGACCACCTTCACATGCTCCTCTTTTACGATGACCAAGTGCCAAGGATTTCTTTTAAAAATCAAGGTGGCAACCCGGTAAGAGGCTTAATCAGAAAATGATTGGGAGAGTCAAAGTAGTACTCCGTGAAAGAGATCCCTCCCCCCCCCCCCGGCGGCCACCCGGTCATAGATTCGACTCTTTTTTAACGCTAGGAAACTTTTCCCATTTGTTTCTCCTCTTTCCGTTTCCGACTCGTTTCCTGTATACTTTCATTTATTTATCTCATTTTTCGTGCCTTTGTAAGTTTCTCCCGGGTGACTGTGGCTCGACCCTTTCCTTGCATAAACAGGTTTTAATACCGTTTTGATTGGAAAACTTGGCCGCGGCGATGCCGGAAAGCCCCCCGGACCCCACCTCGACTCTACCGGGAGCCGGAATTTTAAAGGAAATTCGGCAACACGGCGCGTATGACGCGGACCGTGGCTGGACGCTCTTCGCAAACTTGAAAGACAGCTTCAGAAATTTCGGACCAAGACCGGTCGTCGAGCTTCGAACTCCTCTCCTTTTTTCTCCTTTTTTTTTGCCGGCGACTTTTTTCTCCCACGCGGTTTGCGTGAAAGAAATATGAAAGTTTTCCTCCCTCTTAGCGGACCTTTAACTCGGAAGTTTTTACGCTCCGCGAATCTGCGTTACTTAAAATATTTGAGTTATTTTTGACTGGATATTTCGAGACGGCGGGGCGGGATTTTTATCGTTGTGTTCAGCCACGAAATACTTTAAAGTACGGACGGTAAATATAGCGATCGATTTTCATTCCTGACGAAAGTAAGTGCTTTAGTTTTCTCAAGCACTTCAACTTTGAAAGATCAACCATCAAGGTCTCGAACTTGGAAGTTCGAGGTTTTCAAAAGGCTGGAATGAATCAGCAAAAAATTAACTTTCCTTATTCTCTTCATGGGTCCCAATAGACTTTTGGAATTCAACAAATTCAGTGTTTTCATATTTTTCTTTTCTTTATTAACTAGTGTGTTCAATTTTTCATTTCGGTTTGCCCTTATAAAATAAGAATTGAAAAACTTGCAACCTCGCAAATTGAGGTATGAACCTTCAATGATGACAGAGTGTGTAACTTCACACACGCTAGAATGTAATTTGGGCAGTAATCGTGATTTTCTTTCATCAAGTAAGCGATACTGTTGAAGGCGCTCTGAGCAACTATTCCGCCACAGAAGGAATGCACAGTATCAGACGGAAATGAAGGCGCTTGAAAGTATGTAAATTGACGGGTGTCGTTTACCCTTGTGTAGAGCCCATCTGATCCTACAATTAGTCCTGTTTGATTTTATTTTGTGGAACTTTGTACCAGGTGACTTTCTTTGACGAGAAACTTGAATTTCACCTCACATTTTCAAAATTCGAAAATTCAAGATAGTGAACGTGATCTGAAATGCTATTTTGGCTTTGTTTTGATCAAATTAAGTCCCCATGGCAAGACATCTTGTCAATTATTTTAGCAGTGCCATAGACCCAATGGCAAGACGACTTGCCATTTCAAGTTCTAATTTGAGTCACTAGAGCGCTACAATGACACCCTTTGTAACTTAAAGGCAAGCTCTAATGTACTATTTTACGCTGCCAAAGTAAGGTTGATTTTGTTGCAATTTTTGACGGCTTGGAAAGTAAAAATGCGAAAAGTTAAAATTGGCTCAAGACGGGAGCCCTATTGAATCAAATAACATCATTGAAATTCACTAGGAAATAATTGGATCATTATTTATGACCACCACAAGTCGACAGTGTAGAACAGAAATGAAAACAGAAATATATTCATCGAACCTAGAGTTATTAGTATCAGCTGTTATGACTTGACAGGCCCCTAAAAAATTCTGAAATCTCTGGGTCTGAGGCGGCTAACTTTTTTTCATAATTTTAATGACAAATTTATCCACTTCTCAGTCACCGGCCAGAGACAGGGTCTTCAGGGAAGTGGACGAGAAAGCTGGAACAAAAGGCTCCGAAACAAAAGCTCCGACTGAAACATTTAAAATCGTGGGGCACGGGGAGGGGAAGGGGGAGGGTGGGAGACTAATGGGGGTCGCGTCTCAAGGATCGCAACTGGGAGGGTGGTTTCCGGACTCCGGTGGCCGGTCCAGTCGGGAAGATCTTCACCAGAGGCGGAAGTTGTATCTTCGCCCCGGCGAGAGACTTCACCGCGGAGCAGCGAGCGCCAATGACCATTTTCGGGATTGAGAGAACAAGTCCGGGCTTCGCCGTCCGGTCGAAAAGTATAAATTAACCCCTTCGGCTTTTTATCGCTCCCCGGCTCAAGGGAATCTCGTCCTCCGCCAAAGTTCATTTGGGAAGTAGGGTTTTTAAATGCTTTAGGGCCGCTTTTAGTCCTTCCTTGAGCGCGTTCTTTTCCTTGGGAAACCGCAAATGGTTTAAATTGTGATTAAGGGTCGTATCCATAGTCGATCATTAAACAGATCCTTTTCTCAGGTAGCCCCATTTGGTGCACATTGCAATGAAGAGAGGTTTCAGGAAGCTCTCAAAATAGCATCGTATGTATAAAGGACGATTTTTGCGAACCGCGAGGGAAAGTCAGTAGTATAATTGAATCCGTGAGAACAAAAACACACCAACTCGAAAAAATGAAAATAATCAAGACACACAAAAAACTGCACAGTAGATGAAGAAGTTATTGTAAGAAAAATATTTTTGGTGCCAAAAGATGGATACTTGAGGACACTTTAAAGGTCCAAGTTGGAACAGATACGCTAACTTCAATGACCTAAATGTAAATTGACTGTCTTTAATGAAAATTGAACTTTTTTGAGTTACCGAGTTGGTGTGTTTCCGTTCTCACAGATTCAATTTTAGAGATAGATTCTTGCAAGGGAGTAAAATGATTTCCAACTACAAAAGATTCAAAACACGATAAAAAATAAATTGTGAGTTTGGTTAATTTTTAGGAATGTTTGTCAAAACCTTAGAAGTTTTTCCTCCGAATGTTATACTTTTTGCAGTAGCGAAATCCCTTGTAAGGATCCATTTCTGAACTTCTAGTGCTGAATTTCACTTGGGGTTTGTAAACTTCGTCCTTTATATAATTGAAATCAATTAAACCATTGGTTATCGAAGACACCACTCCCATTTGTACAACAATTGTAGAATTCATCCTGAAGTAAAGTTAGAGCCCTCCAATACCCGTAGGTCGTACGTTGATTCTTTGTAATAGTCATAGGAGTAACTTTTTTAAACCTCGCTCTGTTCTACGTTTCTACTTTATATTCAGGACCTTTTTACTTCAGGTTGAAAACATCATTAGAAAGATCAACACGCACAGTATGTTAAACCTCAAATCAAACTTTGAGTAAGAAATTTATTCCAGAAAAGAACGAACGGCTATTTTTTTATTTAGTAAAATCAACACATAAATGAATTCGATGAAAAAAAGGTCGTGCATCCACTCCGTATAAAAGAATAAAAACTACGCGAGCAATGCATGCTGCATTTCAAACCGGTTTAATTCGAGATGATGCACGTGCAAAGACCGCTTTAACCTTCTCGGAAACGTTTGATGAACCGCTCTCTCATGATCTCATCAGCATACGAGCCCGTAAAATCGCATCCGCACCGAAAGAGAAAGAATAGCAACGCAGTTTCTCCGCTTATCAGCCGAATCAGAGCTAATGAAATTTCGCCGGCTCAAAATTCTCCTCCGGTCAAAATAAACGTTCCTTCCGAACGGGGGTTCTGCCTCTACTCCTCCGCGATTTTTTTGCAAGCAACGGTTTATTTTTCGCCGGGAATAAATACCTGGGTATAGCCCCCTCCCCGCCCCCCGTGGCGCTCTCTGTTTGAAGAGCGGCGAAGCTTAGCTCCGATTGAATTATAAATCACTCGGAACGATGCTGCTTTGCATTTTTCCGCCCCCGTCGAAGGGGCCGACTCCTTGAATGTATGCAATAAAAGTGCACGTTTACAATGACGCTAAAAGATGGGGAGGATGTTCGGAGCGCGGCTGAATGTTATGCGATTTAGCGGATTAGAATAGTTTTTCAATATTGCCAGTGATTGCTGCGCTGTGTGCATCGACTTGTAGCCGGAATCTCAAAAGCGTGGGAAGTGAGTGCAGTTTAGCGAACCCAGCAAAGCGGATTCTATTATTTCGTTACCGTGATACATGGATAGGTATCGGAAACGCTGAATTGGTACCGCGTATTGGGTCGTGTCATTACTGAATTTTCCGAAACAAATGGACTGCATTTTGCAATTTGGAGCTATAAATTCTGGCTCATCTGGAAAAACGCTTACGTGCATAGGGAAACTAATGGCACAAACGTTGTTTTTAAACCGAACTAGAATTTATAGTTCCAAATTGCAAAATTCAGTCCAAATGAGGTTCGCGATTGAGCGCACTTGAACTCTGGCAAGGTTTTGATAAAATGAGAGGTTGAGGTGACTCCTTGCTCGTGCGAGATGCCACAATTTGTTGTCCTCCAGAAAAAGGAACGAATCCGAGTTGGACTCCATTTTGGAATTGAGAGTTACAATTTCTGGCTTATTTCAGAGGCAACATCTGCACTATGAATTTTCTCGTAGAGCTAGGTATTTTAATGGTCGTGTCGGGAATTAATGTTCCTAAGTGAAAAATGTTGTCCAATATCTAGATTGTAATGTTGTCTTTAAAAAATCAATTTTTTTAAGAATATGACTGAGCAATATCCGCCCATTTTGCCAATTCCCCCTTGCGACCAGGAAAAAAAAATTAGAAAATTCAGTGAGGTTTTTCATCAGAAATACCTGTAGTTTCCCGGAGAAGATCCAAATTGTGACTGGAAATTTTGCACTGCTGAAATTTAGAATTTAGTTACGTTTTCTCATCCAAGAAACTACCAATAATAGACTGCATCAGTAGGAATCTATCTTGAAATATGATTTGGATAAAAAGCTGATATTTTAAAACTCTGCAGTGAAAGATACGGCAAGTTTCAGAACTGCTCTTATCTATATGATCGCCTCCGTTGAATGTCCTCACCAAAGAATGTAGCCGACTTCATACTCTAATGTCTCCCATTTTGTTCATGTTTCTCCTCTCATCATCAGAGGATTGAATCCTGAAAAAGTTTGTCATTTTTTCTTCCCATATTGGTTTTGAAAATAGTTTATCATTTGATGGTTTGTTGTTTTTCAGCCGAGTACGAGATGGAACTTGGTTCAAACGGAGTGGGGACCGGTCGAAATCGAGCCGAAATGACCCTGACCCGGGGTGACCTCGGGGCCAAATTCGAGTGTAGAGCCTCGAACGATGCTCTAGAATCGCCACTCATCTCGTGGATAGAGGTCGACGTCAACGGTAAGTTTTTGCCACCTGCAATTCTACATAGCATGGGTATTTTTGATATTTTTTGGGGGACATAGTGGGATTAGCAGTGGAAGGCGTTCTCTTCATTTGAACGTGTTAAGGGTTAAATTTTCAGTCATTTTTGGAGAAAACTGATGTTCTTGATACAGCAACACATTTCTTAAACAGTCTTGACCTATGGTGAAAAAAACTGTATAAAAGGAGCAAATTTAGATAGGAAAGGAGTAATACATCTTCTCTGGGTTCTTTAGCTGAACCAATATGTATTAAAATTACGTCTTTTTTGCCGAAATCAAAGGGATGTTTGCTGTACCAAATATTGTTTGAAGTACCTCCAGATTTGCGAAGGAACCTTGTAATCAAAAGGATCATCATTGGCCATCATATTGATCATATAATGAGATAGTTGTATGTATGTATAAGCCGCTTTTATGGCACGCTAGGGCGCTCTGCGACGCCTACTTTCCACAGGAATCTGTCATGGTAGAAATCCTCTGGATGAGATAGTTACTGTCAGAAAAAGGAACGAAATAGAAACATCTTATTAAGTATATCTTCAAAAAATAAAATAGAATAAAAATAAAAAGATCCACAGACTTTTTTGAATTTTGTGAATTATGAGAAATTACTATAACTATAAGTAACATGTTCAGTAGGGTAGTTTTAGGCAGAATTAGCTATTTCTCACCTTCCCTAAACGACGCTCTCGTGATGTTTTTTTTTTATATCGTTGAATGGAATGATCTAGGTTCACAGCTGAATCACTGTGTCCTTATGACTGTTGTTTCATTATTTGAACCACCAATTATTCGACTGCTTCGATCAGATGCAGACAAGAGGAGAGGAAGATTAGCTCAATCAAAAGGATATTAACCTAATTCGGGGTTCGCGTGCCCTCAAATCGGATCGGCCGGGGGGATAAAAAATCCTAACAAACGAAAGCAGGAAGTAATCAAGATCGCCGCTCATCCCTCCCCCGCCCCTAAAATACCCCTGTGCAAGTCTCATAAATACTTCACTGATTACGCGTGTCATTTACTGGGCAAGCTAGTGTTCCTCCGTGGATTATTATCAAATCAAAAGCTGCGCTGCAATTTAAGTGAAGTTTCCTAACTCTTCACTCTAATTTCACAAATAACTTAAAAGCGCTGTACAAATTATTAATTTCCTCTTAGAAATCTGCTTATTAGAGTTGAATTACAAACGCATTACTGAACCTCCAGTTACATTACTACCATTTCTCTGTTTTGTTTATTGCTGAGGTAAACGCCTCTACTTTTACTTATTCTCTGAGGGAATGTTGAAGTGATATTTGGAATGTAAAAAATCGCGCATGTAACATTCATATTTTAGCTGATTTTATGTTAAAAATATGTTAATTTGACATCCGAAGAGTTCATATTCATATTCGTTTCATTATTTCTACGCATTTGTCAATGTGATGCAAGTGAAATCTATGTTGATTCTAATACTTTCGCCTGTAAAGTATTACTGGTTTTAATTGTAATTGATTGGTTGCGTTACAATATTTTTCACAACCCTCGTCATGAATATACAAACGATGAACCGGATTAATACTTATACCCTGAAATAATTCTCATTAACCTTTTGAGCATTGACTTTAGTGTCATCACAAAAATAAAATAATTTTCTAAACTTTAGTATCCTCAAAAATTTCTCTCAAAGCTCGATAGGAAAAACATCCTTGTACGGTAAATTATAATTTTCAAACAACTGAAATAGTCCACACTTTCTTGTAAGTTTTTTAACCTCTTGCACACAACGAAATAGTTGGTGCTGATTTCAAATTACTCTGTTCTTAGGGCTACTGTCATTTTTTGTTAGGTTACAGAGGTGTTTGTTATGAGGACAGACTACTCTGAACTTACGACCGAAGATCTTTTCTCACAACAGAAACATTCCTTAATGTAACAAAGAAGTTGCAAGAGCCCTCTGAACGCAGAATGTTCTGTTATCAGCTTCAACTATTTTTTGCGTAAAGATGGGTTACTTTTTTCCTTCCAGATTCAATTAACCGATTGCATAGCTAAAGTGCAATACATCTGCAATACCTATGCATTAATTCAAGAAGATGTTGAATTTACTTTTCTCCCATATTGTATCAAATTAAGAATTACTGCCCTCATAATTTGGAGTGTCTCCATTATTTCATACATTTTATAGACTTTTGCCCTCAACAGTAACTAGCATCGCGTATAGAAAGGTGGATTTTGCAGCATCAAAAAAGAAAAAATCCCATCCTCAGCTGGCCCCGGTAGCAATTAAAGGAAATGAGAAGGGGGACAAATCCCCCCTCTTTCCGCAACGTCAATTAATGGTTTGGCCGCCTAGAAGTTCTCTCAAGCTCTGGCGCGTAATAAGGAACGAAAAAGATTTACTTCGCCGCAAGTTTTGTGAACAGGTGGAACGTTCCTTGTCGTAACTTTTTCCGACTCCCTGTGCAAACGACCCAAACGTAATTGAGATAAATTAGAGCGTGGCTCATGTTTTGTGCGTCAGTGCTGCGCTAGAAGTCTGGAGGAAGAAGTCGGGAGACATTTCGTGAAGAAAAGCTAGGAAAGAAGGGGAGAAGAGAAAAAAGTACGTGGAAGCTGGAAAATGGGAGGAAATCGGATGAATCGCTGCGAAAAGGATGACATGAAAGGGAGACGGATATTAGGACTTGCAAATAATATCCAGAAGTGATCTAGGACTGTAAGCTTCAAGAGGGTGCATTTTACGAGCGAATCAGGGGAAAATATTAGGTTAGCCAGGGAGTTCACAGCAGCGGCGTGGTTTTCTTTGCGATATATCGATTGGTCTGCCATTCAAACATATGATAAGGATCGCTGAATAGGGTGTTCGCAACGAACACCTTAATAATCGATTCTATGCCACAGTCTCAAATGGGAAAATATCAATAATCGATCATTCACGTCAGGCCACTGGGTCACAGCTCCATAAGGAACCTCTAGAAAACCGAGAAAAGTTGATGGATTGAATAAAACTGACCAAAAGTCGTAGACGTCCTAGAATCATCTTGTTCGATTTCTTTCTCCTCTACATCGTGTTTCTTCGTATGCATGCAGCTACTGTAGTCTCCATTATCCACGATTCGAATGAGCCGCAAGTGTTTTTCAGTGGCTTTTTCCACGGATGGAAAGAAATCGGGGTGACNGGGGGGGGGGGGGGGGGGGGGGGGATTTATGTATGTAACTTTAAGAAAAATTCTCTCAAACGTATCGGAAAGATCACAGCCCTTACTTTGAAAAAAAAATCCAGTTATGTTCGCCAAAATAACTTCCTATAACATAAAATGTATTCATTTTTAACAAAAAATTACATATCTGTCCAATATTTAACAAGTGGTTTATTAGAGTCGTTTTAGAATACAGTCATCTTGATCACTGTTGCCAGGCAAACAGCTTAGTTTCTCGTTATCGGAGGTCCTCGATTATCCGCGGTCCTCGATTATCCGCGGTCCTCGATTATCCGCGGTTGCTCCGATCCCAATCACCACGAATAATCGAGACTACTATATTTTTGAGACCGAGCTTGAAATAGTAGTTCCCTATGACAAAATGTAGTCCAATCCAATGGCCTGGTTACACGATCAAATTCCCGTCAAATTCCGATCAAATGGTGACTGGTGCGCACCATCTACCAACATATTTCATGCGGCCTGCAAAAATTTGATGGTAGATGATGGAGCTGTGGGGCTCATCCTTCATCTGATTCCCACACAACCGTGCTTATTTCATGCTTATTTCAATCAACACGCTGTTTTAATTAATTTTACTCATCAATCTAATAACTCTCGACCGCCATCTTGGTCATCATTTTGATCGGAATTTGACGGGAATTTGATCGTGTAACCAGGCCACAACTCTGCGCGCGATCAGAGCGCTACGGCAGGTCGCGCGGCGAAAATCGGAACTTGATTCGGCGGAGCGGTCGAAGCGCGAAATCGGCTCAGCTGGCGGCATAAATTAACGGGGCGGTGGAAATAATAGAGCTGCAACGTAGCTCCTGGATGGAGCTATCCGCGGAGCCGGTTAACTCGCGAGGCGATGTGAAATATGATGCATGTGCCAAGGAGAGTGCGCCCCGCCGCGCCACCGGCCGACTTCAACTTGTCGAATATTTTCGACGCGAAGGACCTGAGCGTGGAGGAATTTTTTACCCTCAGGGACAGGGATGTCGGCTTGGGCTAAATTCTCGGTTTCTCCCCTACATATCCTTTGTGGTTGGTTGGTAGATACGTTTATTTGGTGCTTTTAACAATTGAGCCCTTAGAGGTGCACCTTAGAGGAGAGATCAAAATATATGGTACGGAATTTAAAAATTTAAAAGGTAAGGGTCACAAAAGTTAGTACAAAATTAAAAGTTAAGACAAGGAAAGAATGCATCGAATTTGGAGATTAATTCGTTTGAAATAGAGAGGGATTTCACGAGAATACTTTGAAAGGATGGTATGGAGATCAGAAAGTGGAGGGAAAATTTTGGATCCTTTTATCTAAAGAACAGGTGCACGTGATGGCCTTTTATTGGTCTTAAATTTGACTATTCATTTATTTATTTATTCATTGATTTATCAATGTGTTTTGCACGAGAGAGTTTTGAAATTTCCAAGATAACACACTGATCCATAGAAAAAATGATGAAGAAAATGTTCAAGTGAAAAACAGTTCCCTTTACCGTCATAATTACAAGACTCAGATTCTTTTTTAGATTGTCTTTTTAAAATAAACTGAACCCTTTACCAGTTTAATCCAATGATGGGTCAAATATTTCGATGCTTGTGCTAAAATTTAAGTTTAAGCAAAAATTTACCAGTTTTTTCCTACCTTTAATGTTACATTAGAATTCTATCGAGAATGATACCATGTATCCAAATTATCAAGAGTCAAATTCACGCTCGTATATGATACAAATTATAAAATAACAGGAGGAGGCCCAATTTTTGACAATAAACGTGATCGTCAACCTGC